AGGTGAACCGCCTGCTCGTTTGACAACTTTTCACATAAAAAAAATGTAACTAGGTAAAGCGGCCTGAGAACAAATTATTTCATTTTAGAGCACGTGGGAAGCATCACCAATTTAAACAGTTAATTAAGTATAGCACGCAACGTTAATTAATTTAAAAGGATTTATTTCCCATACCAGTTTATTCAGTCATTTGTTTACTTTTTGCATGAAAAATGAAGTACGTTATTTTTTTTATATAGTTTAATATGTTATTTTCTTGATTTTATGCGAATATTATACATATTAAATGAAACTAATTTAGGGATTTTATCGCGTTTTTGTTTTGATTTGAACTCCCGACGTTTCGAACCCTTTCCAGCGTTTATGGTCACGTTCCAACGGGTCACCCGTTACGTCGGGTGTTCAAATCAAAATAAAAATGCGATAAAATACGTAAACTAGTTTCATTTAATAGTTTAATATGAGTAGAAACAGTCGTTGGAAGAAATCGATAAGCATTTTTATGATGGACTCAACTTCTTTTAGCTTTAACCGGAGAAAGTGCGGAAAATGAAAAAAAAAACGAATCGAACGGACGGGAGGCTCCTGGTCCATACCGCCGCAGCCGGAGATAAGTTTCACCCATTAACGTAACGATTAAACTACGATTAAACGAATGCCGACACACGCGCCGGCCCCGCGTTTCCTGTTTACTCTTCTGTCGGCCGATTTGAATGTTGCCCTAGACCGACAGATTGTCCTACAACGAGGGACTATCCTAGGGCGGGAGATGGTCCTAAAGTAAGTGATTTATCTATTATTATAAAATAGCCTACAATTTTTTTATTTAAGTAATAGCTTTTATAAGACCATTAAATATGCACAGGTTTCTTTATAAAGACGGTTTTTATCATAATTCTTCGGACTTACTGTGACTTAGTGAGTCACGTTACATTTGTTTTCCACGGAGATACAATTCGCCTTACCCTGAATTTTTTCACGGTACTTATTCGGACGGACCTACCCATTCGTGCAACAGGAGAGCTGTTGCGTGGCCCTACCACAGCTCAGGCACATATAGTTTTCTTATATATTTTTATAAGCATTACACTATCGCTTGAACACCAAAATATTTTCTTGCCCATGTAGAAACTCTGCAGTTGAAAACTATAAATTTCGCCGCCTCAGGTCGTGTATTCGAATCTCAATTGGGTCAAGTATTTGTACGACCTACTCGTACATCTGTAGGTCATACTTCACAAACAACTATCTAGTTTTTCCGGATCTTGATGTTTGCCCTTGTTAAATTTGTGCTCGTAAAAGGTTGTAGTGGCGACAGCATTTGTATGTGAGACAACATTAGTGTGTGGCCAGCAAGCAGGATGTACACCTAATGTTGATTAAAGTCCGTGGACACCTACAAAGCCCTGTACAATTATGTTGCGCTATTTATTATTTTGAAATAATTAAATAAATGGGCCCCAGCAATTCTCACTCACGAAACGCAAAAGCATAACTTTACATAGAAGAACGACATGAAGAGGAAATATTAAATTCCAATTAACATCTACTAGCTCATGGTAATTCTCTAGATAAGTTTACCCTTCCGTTCAACGGCAAAATCCGCCGTAGTCATATTTAATGGTAAATGTATAAGTCAAAAGAATCTTTAAAAATGTACACAAATACTAAATTGCAAAACCACAAAAACGAACATTAAAAATATGAGGTGCTAATAGTTGCGTTTGAAAATCTATAAATGACTACTCTGGGATTCAAATTCTCAAACTTAAAACTCATTTATTGAAAAAAAATCGACAGTAAAATTAAAATTAAAATTACTATTGATAATTAAATCACCACAGCCGTATTGTTGGAACTGTGGTCTCAATGAGAACAAACAATTAAAGTTAAACTCACGCTTTAAAGCAATAAATTCATTGCTTTGAATAATCGATAATTCGACCTTAATTGGATTGGAGTTCCGAAACTACATTGAGTGTGACGGCGCAGAAGAAATTCTCCATTCAATAAAAACGTTACAATGAAAGATTTCTACTCGCACGAAAAGTTTTTAAACTGCTCAATTATTTTAATATATCAAGACTAAATTGTGTTTATCGTTTATTATAAGTCTATTAAAAACAGTACATGAGAATTCACAGTAAAATTATGTACCTGCTGCTCAGACTAATATTCTGATTAGTACCTACTTGTATTTCTTAAAAGCTCGTTTTGGTATTACACGGCTTCTTATGCTTGATAGGGTTTATGTTGCGTCAAATTAATGTATTAGTTTTTAAACGACATTTATAAGAAACGTGTTTCAACCTGTTTGGCATCGTCACTTGTCGTCGTATAAATATGGAAGTTCAAATTAAAATAAAAAAAATTAGAAGCTCAATTAAGCGAAGCTCTATTAAACGAAGCTCGATGAAGCGAAGCTCGATGAAGCGAAGCTCTATTAAGTGAAGCTCAATTAATTGAAACTCAACTAAGCGAAACTTCACTAAGCAAAGCTCGATTGTACGAGAAGATTGAAAAAATGAGTGCAATGCCAAAGACTAATCACAATCCTGTTGCCGACTCCAAGTACAGGGCAAATTAATCGGAAATAGACAATCTATTGAAGTTCAAGGGGAAAGTAGACCACTGCGATCATTGAAAGAATCGTAGTACTAAGTGATAAGACACGAAAATCAAACTACAATGACAGTCATCAAAAAAATTAAGAAATAGGTACAGTTAAAAAAACAATCAATGTAAACCAATCAAATACAAATTGAAGCACGTGAACAATATTACGAATGTTAATGCCGTGTGGATAATTAACGTAACACTGGCCATAACTAATCTGTTATGGGCTGTACTCCTTTTATGAATGTAAACAAAACAAACCAAAGGTAGTTGCACATGCAAAAGGAGGGCGGCCCGTGAAAGCGTATGTTGGCAGCATAGGAACTACATATCGACGGCGTAGTACTACTGGCGGACTTAAGTAAAATGAAGTTGCATCGATAGTTCTAAGAAATAAAAGAAAGAACTTGTTATTTAAGCTATATTAACAAAGCCAATGAATATTTAATGCCGAATGATTGAAGAAAATATTATCTGCAGACAAAAACTTATTACTTACGTTTCAAAAAAATTATGCAAAGCAATATAAATCATCAGCATCCGCCTATCACACAATTGAGATTTACGATAGCCCGGAATCATTATTAAATATTCGGAGCTTTCATACTTCGGACCATTCTTCCTTCCTCATTGAACACTTGCTTATTTCTTGCTTATCTTGTGACTGCAAATCTCAAAAAAAAAAGATCTAATTTGAAAAAAAAAAATCCAAAATTCCAATATAAAGTACTTTGATCGATATAAAATAAAATGGACTTTGACAGTTTTAAATGAGACCAAAAATATAATCATGTTCAAAAATAAAAATTTACGTTTAATATCATCAAGTTACCGTTACCAGTATTAAGTTTATTACAAGAATTAATTACAACGCATCGTCGAATTTGTAGCACGGTGCGTCTAGAGCTGGTCAGTTTATTATAGAAATCATTGCTCTAACAATAAAGCACTCAAATCAAGACAATTGCTCCATTTTTGAGAATTTATATGAATCAATCAAAAATTTAACTCTAATAAAAGTATAATTTCCAATGCTATATATCACTCGACCAAAATTTGTGCTTTCCTCAAAACAGCGTTGCAAAATATATACTACTTATAAATAAATATTTATAAATGTTCGGGATTGTAAAACGTCAGTAGAAGCTATTAAGTCCGTGAAGAGTACCAACAATATATGCCATGAGCTCTTCTAATATTTTTTATGATCGTGGAAACTATCGGAACACACATGACATGTCTAAACAGATTTAAAATTTCATAAGCCAAAGAAAATTATTTAATGATGGTTCCAAATAAATATGTTATTTATCAAAAAAAAATATATTGGTGCTAATAATAAATTTTATTCCTATTGTTTACCTATGGTACTTTAATTTTGTTCGAACAAACAAGCGTGTCGTGAGTGTCAGAAATTTCCGTGAAAAATGTATGGTGGTGAACTACTAACCATAGAAGTAAGTAATAGTCTATCTAACATCGATAATTCAATCTAATATTATTCTAACGTATAGGATAAACGATAATCAGTTTTATAACACCTCTGCTAAATTGAATCTAGCATTGTCGTCCTCATAACAGAACAATCTTGTGAGCAGCAACCATAATAGCACATTAATGAAGGTGAGAAAAAGTGAAGTTCTCCCTTAATTTAGGAAGAAAAGAAAAAAAAGAAGCGGATTCCGAAAATCTAAAGACTCACTCGAAACTTCTAACGATATTTCGGAACTTTCTTCGTCTAACTGGGATAGTATGTAAATGAGACGAATAAAATATTCGACGAATGTTCACTATGCGAGGCAGATCTGACCCGCGTCCAACTATGAATGTGATCATCAATTCTGACATACATCTTATTCAAATCTCGATGTTCTCATTTTCACGCATCTTACACACTTTTACATCTTTAAGTATGTACTTAAATTTAGTGGATATTTTTATGGCTTTTATCAGTTGAAAGCTCTAGTATGTTGGCATGAATTTTATGTATTTTTCACATTGCTATTTCCCAATTCATTCATTCACCGCAACTATGTGTTAGTATATAACTCAACCTGATAACTGAATGGTAATAGTGTACATCTCATAACATAATTTTTGAAAGAGATATGTTACACTTGAATTGACAACCACTCTAAGGATGTCACATTTACCATCACCATGTAATGTAACCATGAAATGTATACACCTAACATATGTCACACTTTTGATTCGATCCAAATTGGCATTACGCGCGTTAAACTAGCAACCGTAAATCGATACGTACCGTCCGCCCGTCCGTGTCAACAACAGTAAGCAACGTCCACACAATCACAGTTCTCACAATAATGGTCGCGCGCGTATCGGCTGGTTCGTTCGACGCACGTGCGTTAACGCGTTCGTCAGTCGGCGGCGATGCGCGCGCGCCGGTCGAGCAGTGACAAGTGGTTGCGCCGCAGGTGCCAGCCTCCCCCTAACAAGGTCGCGCCCCCCCTCTCCCGCGCCCGTTTCACCCGGAGAAAGTCCGCCTACATACATACCAAATTTCCGAACTGATTGAGCCGGCTGAATTAAAGGCCGCGTGTGATGAATGGACCGCGCCCGACGAGGGGTCACGCGCGAAGGTTGAGGTTGCGAAGAGCACTCGCTAGAAATTATCCTACGGCCCGTGTACGTAGTCGTTTTTGTTCCTCAATAGCTATGTTGAACTGGGTAGTCCGTTGCAGATTTGACTGTTAGTGGAAATCTACCTAAAATTTAAGAATTAATGAAAACTACTGCACACGATTGTATTATTACTATTGCATTGTTGTATTAGTACTATTGCAAATAATCCTCAAAATCTTACTATATTCGAGATGTTTGTAAAATGAAAGTGAACGTTTTACAGATACTTTTGCGAGCCAAAAATCAAGATGGGGACTGGACTCAACGTTGTTCCGCAAAACATTTTGTAAGAGCCTTTTACCTAAGAGTGACGTTATTAGTTTTATAAGGGTCATAGCCAAATACTACTCGGCAAAATTTTCTTCGAGACTAAATGAGCAACGTAAAGTGTGCTGAATTTATGGGCACAAAATGTATGTACTTCCTGGATCCTCCATAGCCCATCTAGACTATGGAGAATCCAGTAACGCCAACAAAACTACAAGCAGAAGTAAGTACTGCGCACAGTTTAAAGAAATTCTTTATTTTGCTGCTTCCTTTGCCATCTTTTCCGATAAAATAAAACTTCTTACTATGGTGAAAATTGCGCAGGCGGTTCACAGGATGTCAAGTAGTTACTACTACTAAAACGTGCATGCTCTATTACAATTGGTTGCTGCAGTTACGTCGCCAACCATGTAAATCAAGATACCCTTTTCTCTAGACAAAATGTGCATTCCGCTAAATTGTGCATACCATAAATCTGATTATCTATTGTTAATTTTATATATCCTTACATTTGTGGTGGATTATAAAAGTTATATATTCATTCATCCTTACTAATATTATAAAGGCGAAAGTTTATATGTATGGATGGATGTTTGTTACTCTTTCACGCAAATACTACTGAATGGATTTTAATGAGACTTTCCAATAATATAGCTTATACATCAGTATAAGACATAAGCTGTAATTTATATACATATTATATGTATAACTGTCTTTCTGTCTGAATGTTACGCCTACAGCCTATTCTACGCAGACGTAGAATAGGGTAGCAACTAGTTAAAAATAAAAAGTACGAATACTTCTCGGACTCAGAGAGGCCACAATAGTTCTAACCATCTCTGTGACTGGAACCTGCATGATAGTAGTTAGATGATACCTCACCCCCATTAAAGTGTAGTTGTATATAGTCATATAGCAAGTTATTCAATTACGTACTCATTCACTAACTCTTCCCGTATGTGTTAAGGATCTACGGCCACGCGGCTACATCGGCTGTAGAATGAATGGGCAGGATGTCTACGCATTTTTTTTTCTTCTTGATTGCACCATTTTGTTTAAGGGCAAAGTCTATTTTTCAAATACTCTATGAAAAATTGTCCAATGAATAATTTGTCAGTTTTTGAGGAAGTGCTCCAGTTAAAAATTCCATGCCTAGTTAAAAATTGTTATAAAATTGTCATTTGTAAGTTTCAAATAAAGTGTATTTGCTATAAAGTTTTAAAGCTTTTAATTTCTTATTCGACAATTTATCTACGTTTATCATTTATTTTTTTTTTATTTTTTATATAATTACGTTTTAATATTTATTAGTTATGAAATTAAATATATAAAGAAGCATGAACTGAAAAATATAATTTCACAGATCATGAGCTAGTAATTGCTCAAATTAACGTGACGATATTATCAACGCTCAATCTGTTTGTTCAATGTCGGCCTTAGCGGCGTGATGAGGAGCGTAGTCATCCGTCTACCTGAATGAGCAACATAATAGTTTAAGCATAATATTAATATGATATTAATATTATGTCTAAACTATTATTTAATAATTAGCCTAAACTATTATTAGTGTAGCTAACTGTACTAATATTGTCAATAAATAGTCATATTGTTTTTGACAACATTTGCGATGCTATCGATGAGGGAACAAAGCGAGAACAATATGTATTGTTATATTTATTCAATACATATTGTTATCAACAATATGTAGTCTTCAAGTAAATTTTAAAACAGGTCGAACCATTCTGTTCCTGATTTTATATAAGGAGTTATTTAATTTATGCAATAGCGGGCCTCAAGGTCATTATGGGCAGCACACAAAACATTGGTGTATTGGACTGCTATTTAATGTCCCACACGCTGGTTATTAAGCATACTTTTATAAAGAATATCTATAAGGCCGGCAACGCATATACAACTTTTCTATTGCAGATGTCTATTAGCGGTGGTGTTACTTAATTATTGTACTTTGTCATTATTTATATCTCATTAATCGGATAAATATCGTATTTGAAGGTCATTGACTAGTAAGACTATATTGCAATATCACGGTTTCAAAAAGTGTATATAAAGTGTTGTAGCATAAGACATGAACTCTCAATCTTGGATTCGAGTTGCATAGCTCACATAGATGTTTTCAGATTTCTTACGTGTAAACATAACATCCTTCTCATCGAGGTGTACGAGACAGGCTCGTAGTGTGAATTGAGCCATGTTGGGCTCCCCATTTGCTGTTTACTCTAATGATATACAAATCACGCGTTTAAAAGATTATGAATTGTTACTAAAGGATTAAGAAATTATAATTTTTTTTATCACATTAACCTTTTTTGTTTTTAATAAGTATAATAATACAATAATGATCGTTTACTGTAATTACGGTCGACCTCCATACCCAGAAGGACAGGTCAACCGGGCGTTTCTGATAACGAAGCACAGCAAAAAGTTGAATATGAAAAGGGTCACGCAAACAAGATCGCCACTTGAGTGAAATTGCGGGCACTCATTACCAGCTAAATGTCAGCGGTCAAAATCTTACGTAAGGGTTAGCCCTTTTTTATTTTATGCCTTAAAAACATTTTATTCTTATCTGTACATGACTAAATACTTTGTAACATTTATTCGTCACCTGCAAAGAACGTTACTTTCTTAATGTACAAGACGATCTCTTAAAGTTTCATTTTTTACAATAGATCTCGTGGGACAGCCGGCTTCCTCGGACTTTAGACGACCTATCTAAAGACACGCTATCGTTATGTATATGAATAGTGTTTTCAGGCGGAACAGCCGGTGGGTCCGAAATACTTCTATCCCTATTATATGTATTTTCTATGATAGCATCTTGCGAATTTGGGGAATACGCCGTGGTAGAGCCGTGCAGCAGTCTTCGCTGTTGCACAAATGGTCACATCCGTCAGGGAAAGTACCACGATCTTACAGAAGACCGGCTTGAAGTGGAATTGTTATACTTTAGCGTTTTCTCTGGTGACTGAAGTAACAGGGGCGAACTTTATGATAGGTGACAACGCATTAATTAACTGAATTAGAATTAGTAAGCTGAAGTGGCGATGGACCGGCCATATAGATGGTAGAACTGATAACTGTTGGGGTGGGGAAGAGAGTTTCTTGAGTGTCAACCGCAGTGAGAACAGCAATAGGACGATCCCCTACTAGATGGAGTGATGACCTGTGCAAGCGTGCGAGTGCACGTGGCTCAGGATCGTGTGAGTTTATAGGAGGAGCCTTATTTCAGCAGTTAGCTGCCAGCAGTTCAGCCTTATGAGCAGTGGACTCAAACAAGAAATGATGAACGACGAACGCATCAGTAAGTTTACGGGTGTTCAAATGTAAGAAAGGCGGCAGTTTTCACTTACATCAGGTGAACCGTAAGCTCGTTTGCCACCTTCTCACATAAACTAAAGTTGTACATTATAAAATTATACCTATGCCTGAATGATATACAATTGAATTGTATAAGAATATCACCATAATCAGTTAGTTTAAAGCAATATCAAATTTATTAACAGACCGTTGAGTGACTGATAGTGACTGATTATTATTATATTATTATTATTATTATTAAAAGACCATTAGTTTTCTGTCACGATGACATGACGTATATGATATGAGGGGTAATTACAATCGACAAATTGAAAAAATAACCAGAAAGCATTTGCGTTGCATAAAGTGGAGGCTATTTTTAATTTGGTACCTTGTTCGGCAGAGTTGAAAGCACTCTCAGTTCCACATCAAATGATTTAAAATTTGAAATTTAGTTTAGGTCTTTTTATAGTTTGACTGCTTTGAAAATTATTCAGATTATGTCTCAATTATAGGTATACTAGCGACCCGCCCCGGCTTTGCACAACTGCAATGTATTATACATATAAACCTTCCTCTTGAATCTCTCTATCTGGTAAAAAAACCGCATTAAGATCCGTTGCGTAGTTTTAAAGGTCTAAGCATACATAGGGACAGACAGACAGCGGGACGACTTTCTTTTATACTATGTAGTTATGGTTGGTTTTATATTTGCCATGGAATACAAAACAATTTAATAGCGATCTGAACTTTAAATTACTATAATTACTGACTAGTTGAACTTCGTTGATGATATTACGCTTAAAATATTACGCTGGAGATTGTGATTATGTCAATTCATTTTTACGATTCAATCGGCGCAATGAATAGAGAGTCCGTCTCTCGCGCTACAGGACGTGAACTCAATCTCCACTACTGAAAAATATTGTATGATGAAAATACTTGTAGTTATTAGTATCTTTCTATATCTTTATCAACAAAAGAAAACTATGTTTAAGTTAGTGTTTAGTGGACGTAGTAAAGGCTTCGCTTTGTTTGGAACTAGACACAAAATAATACCTGTAAATATTTATCCATCAATTAAAATATTTGTACATACATGTACTTAGATATAGTTTCTCTGCCCAAAGAGAAGTTATACACAAAGTTAACATTATGTTGTATTTTAGTGCAGAACTGCACCAAAGACAAAATTTACATAAAAATTCAGGTTTTATAGTTAAATTGATAAAAATTGTCAAGAATTGTTATAGATTTAAAACAAAAGTAAATAGTTGTTATTTTCACGTCGCGCGTCGTCAGGAAATCGGTCACTTAGTTCAGTCGGCCAGAATGTATAGACAGACGAAGAAATAGGAACAGATCCAGGCCGCGCCGAAATTGTTGGTTTATTTGCCAAACAACTTGTCAAATAAACCCACATAATATGAGTAGGTTGTTAATAAGCTAAGATATCGTTCGGATTAATACCTGCTGCTTGCACCACCGTTCCACGAACCCACAAATACACAATCGGCACCACCATGATTGGCGGTCCACCACTGTGCGTTTTCACGAAGTTTTCTGCCACGCACCTCCACTTTGTGGGCCAGTTGTCAGCAACGCAGTTTTGACTTCTGCAATGTTGCAATTTTCCATGGTAAAGAATAATATCAATGAATTTCATAATCTTATATGAGTTCCGCAGTGCTGGTAAGAGTAACTCAATTTGTTGACTCTTTTTTCTTCTTCTTTCGTTTACAGTTATTTTAAAGTACACAACACAAATTATTCTTTTACGGTAGGAAGATGCAATATAAGAAGACGCTAAGAATAATTAACTGCTTAAAAGAAAAAAAATATCCACCTAAGGAGATAGGATAAACGGCGGGGCCTCCTAGAAATGTATGTGTCGTGTCCGGGCCGATTGGCACGCGACATGCGCGCACCGAGTACAAAACGTTCGCTGTCACATAGTGCACCATTTTAAATAGATTAAGGCAATATTTGTTATTGTAAAAAAATAATGTTGCTCGGAATAAAAAATCAGATAAAAAATATGGTGTTGGGGTGGGTTACAAACACATTTTTTTACTATTTATTTTTTCAAAACATTGTTGTATAAGATATACTTCGATGACGATTAATTTTTTTTACGTGCGGACTATCCCGCTAAATATGATTATTGGAACATAATAAGTTTATTAAAAATAGATAGCATTTTTATCTAAATGTTTCTTGCTTTGGGATAAAGACATGAAAACTCAGGTTCTTACTTTATGCACCGTTTTATTATTGACTAAACATATTTTAATATTCAGTCGTATTAGCTAGTTGTCTAAAAAGTAATAACGATCCACTTGTTTGGGGAAAGTTCCCAGTTTTCCCATTGTTTTATGTATCAAATGTGATTTATGTAATAAATCGATTGATGTACAGCAGATCTAGGGAACGTTTTAACGCACATAATCATTATATCGCACATTTATTGAGAGAACCACTAACATCGAACAAGACGCAGGTTTTACGATCAGAGGCGACAACAGCCCACTTCGCGCGCATCCTACTGGCGGCCTTGCCGACCGACATGTTCCCCATTGACATTTCACTTCCTTATTTAATAATTTAAAAAAAAAACCTCTTTGCGGGATGGACTGGACGGTCGCGTTCATTAAAATAATTTTCATGTAGTTCAAATCTACTACGAACTGTTATTATTGCCTTATGTTAAAAATTACTGTTACTGCCTTATGTTAAAAATTACTGTGCACCTCGATGCGACTTTCTAAAAATTACAGATAATAGACATAATGTTTTAAAAATGATCTGATTCCTTTTTTGTTGTCTTATATTTTAAACATTGATAATATTTTTATATCTTTCGGTATGCAATAAAATATCTGTTTTTTGTTGTCAAACATTGAAATATATTCGGATGCTCATTAAATACAATGTTTTTTGTGGCGATACACCAGATGAAAATTTATTGACCAAGAATGTTGTCGAACGCTCAACCTAAATACGTCCAATATACGATGAGACCCACCTACGTGTAGACGTTTGGTTTGAAAACTTCAACGCGAACGACAGCCTAACGCCGCTCGCAATAAGGAATAGTTTTACAATTCCCTAATACAAACAGTGGCTACTTTCCAATATGTCAATAAGAGCTTTCGCTATCTGTGACCGCGACATCGAGTCTGTTTATTTTACTTGTTTGAGCATTCCTTTTTTGTCCAAATTGTGATGCAAAAGGCACTCATCAGTACTAGTTAAGAGCATATCTAATTGTTCAGATCTTAATAAGCAACAATAAAGATGTGAACAATGAGTTTTTAATAGAATGTAATGTTTATCTAAGAAGATGGCAAGAGTGCGGGTGGTTTACCTAATGTTAAGTGATAACCGCCACCATGGACATTTGCAACACTTGTAGGATTGCAAATTCATTGCCATATTTGAACCGAACGCCGGTTATCTCACTCACCAGACGAAACGCAGAAGTATAAATTTTAACATTTCACTCCGTTCTTCTCTGAGTTCGCGATACTTCCTCGGACGGACCTTCCCATTCGTGCAACAGCGATGAACATGGCCCTACCACAGTTAAAAACAGCAGCCAGCTCCTGCAGTACTTAGAAGAGCACCGGCTGATTAGCGACCGCCAGTACGGCTTTCGTCGCTCAGTCGGTGATCTTCTGGTCAGAAAATCATACACATAGATGGGCAGAAGCAGTTGAGAGCAAGGATTAGGCGCATGCCTTGCATTGCTCTCAACGATGCTTGGTGTGCTCAGCAAAGCGAGACAGGACTTCACGTCGACTCAACGCCTAAACCTCTATAAGGCTCAAATTCAGCCCCTCATGGAGTACTGTTCTCATCTCAGTGCGGGAGTAAGCTTCTTCGATTTGACCGCATTCAACGTAGCGCGGCTAGGGTAATCGACGACCAAAGTCTTTCCGATCGGCTTGATCCTTTGGCTCTGCGTAGAGATGTCACATCTTCTACCGCATTTATCACGGGGAGTGTTCCGTGGAGTTGTTTGGATTGATCCCGGCGGCTTAATTTCACCATCGGACATCGCGCCAAATCCAAGAATTTCATCCACACCACCTCGATGTCCAGAATTCCACAACAGCAGGATTTTCAAGGCATTTCCAACCTCACACAACCACTCTGCGGAATCAACTGCCTCCGGTGGTCATTCCGAACAGTTACGACATGTGAACCTTCAAGAATTGAGCATACTCTGTTCTAAATGGGCGGCAACGCATTTGTAATCCCTCAGGTGCTGCAGGTCATCATGGGCGGCGGTAATCACTTATCATCAGGAGAGCCACCTGCTCTTTTGCTCATATATATTTGCATGACGATGAGCGATGTTTTTTACATTTTTAATTTTTTTAAACATTGCCATTACTGTAGTATATCATTATCTTGTGTCGTAAGGACGTTTACATACATAAATTTCGCGTAGAAAAACATCCAGATCAGAAACAATTATTTGTGCGTCACACAAAAAGTTGTGCCGTGTGGGAATCGAATCCACGACACTCGGCGCCAAAGTCAATACCTTGGCACCTGCATCACGGTTTGCTTGTTGTTTTAAATTACAAGGAATAGCTGGTTCGATTCGAGTAACAAACAACGGAATGTTTGTTGTAAGTTTCAATGACAGTCTATTTTGTCGTGCTTAAACTTTATCGTATTCAAGATGATGATGACGATGGATTCGCATTTCTAAGTTTCATTAACGAATATATATATATATATATATAACATTTAACACAAAAAAGAATCTGATACTCTTAAGATAGTTCTAAAATATTTCCCTTTAATACTTTACTATGTTTGTGTATACGGATCTTTATCTTACATTTATTTTTGCTAATCTGATTCCTTGCATATTAATATAACGAAACGATTTACTGTTATAACAGATACCCGTTTAATTAACATGCTAAAATCTAATCGACAACAAGCCTAAAACATATAATTTTAACGCCGTTGATTTTTATAAAAGGAGTTAATGGGTTAAGTATAGGTTGACCATCCGATTATAATGAAACAAGGCCCTTTTTTGTTAAAAACTGCAGGAAACGAACGGATTTAGTGATCCTTAAAATTCTTCAATCATTTGATTGTTTTAGTACGTAAAACACTTTTATGATTATGATAAGGGTATTCTAATCATGTCTAATGCAGTCTAATACATTAAGGTGTAAGTTGTTTTTGCTAATAACATAATATCATCATGCGATTACCATAAATCAGATACTTTTAACCCTTTTTTACAACATTTTGGTATGCGCTAAATGGTTTAGAATTTATATTCGTTTTATCCTTATGATTTATTTTATAAATAGTTTTTGCTTCATTCTGAATAAGGTTTCGGATGTAAGACTATGCTGTAGCTGACTATAACTCTGAATGTAACCGTCATTTATTTAAGAAAGCTATAAGAGATATATTCTATATAATGGTTTTCACTTTGTCCCATAATATTAATGGAGACCCTACTCATATGTACACACCCATGCCGGACTGCGTGCGTTCAACACACTAACACACATTTTTGCCCATCAAAGCGATTTTATATATTTATCTGTATTCAAGCATTCGTATCTCGTAGAAGATTAGCATTCTGGATCGTGACGGATTAGGCTCGAACGGATGTGGGTCAGGGGTTCAACATCACCGGAAATAGAGTTAATCAAAAATAGGGTCCACAGAAAAATAATTAAATAATATTCTTTTAACTCAAAACTTGAACAGGAGTGCCTTACTTCCCAAATTGGCGAAAAAAACGTTGAAGTAAGAGTTGGTTAATATACACTTTCAGGAATATTTTGTTTCCGTAAGAGAAGAATATAAATATACTATTACGACTGAAAAGTATTAGTGTTCCCAACTAAAATTGCAAGTGATTATATCTGTTTGGCACGGCACTGACCGCGCTTGTAAACTTTATTTATTTATTAGTTTGAAAACTACTTGCACAATAGGGTACAATGGCTGACTTAACATTAGGTGTTCTCTACCAGTCAACCGACTAATAAGTAGAGGAAATAAAGAGATACGAGAGAGCCACATGTGAAATAGTGAAAAATATGATTTTATATAAAATATTATATACATATAAATATACAATACATATGCATGTGCATGTGCACACTAATATATATGTACATACTTACATAGTATCACATAATTATGTCAAGAATTCAATCAATTCTGTCGACTATCTAGATAAAATTTTAAGACGGCACGCTTAAAACTCTGTTTTGTCGAACAGTTTCTAATACAGGTGGGTAGCGAGTTCAAGAGCCGTACGTATTAAAACTGAAATTGTATGTTTAGTATCTTCCATTCCATTCCTGACATCGTCCACAATTTGCAACAGTGCAGTAATAGCTGTGGCCAGCATGGAAGCCGGAACCTCGTTTAAACTATTATTCTTGTGACGAAATCAAAATGTGATTTTGACGTTGACTTTGTGATTTACACGTAATTTTTTTCTTTGTCAAACAGCGATCATGGGTTTGAGCTTTAAAAATTCATAAATCTAAGTTATCTTTAGATTCTAGTAGAATATCATTATAAATTTTACAGGAGTGCGAATCGGAAGCAAACAGAATTTATAATTAGATGAAATATGTCTACTTTTAAGTAACTTTAACAGGGTTTCCAGTTCAGCTACTAATTTATATACGAAATAATTTTCTACATACATATATCATCTAAGGTAGCGTTTATCCAAGACGGTTTTAAATGAGACTTTATTCAAACTATAAACAATACAATATAGTATTTTGATAGATTGCACTCTACTAAAGGTACACGTTTTATTGTTTCAGGTTAATAATACGGCAATAAACAGCCAATCATCCGCTTATGAATCACCATGAGACGAAATATTTATAAATTACAGGCTTTGACAAGAAACCATGCCGCAACCGCCCATGGTGTTCAAGTTCGAATGATATACTTTCTCTTTAAAAGATTCTATAAAAAAATATATAACCACTTCATTTTAAATTGAGCTTAAAATGATTATGATGATTAAGTATCATATCATCAATTATCTAGCCGCGGCCCAAATTGTAATATGATAAAAATGAAAGTTATCGAAAACATTTCTTAAGCGCATTTAGCAATTGAACTATTCCCGTACAAATGAGATAGTACCCGTTTATACTTTTTAACAGATAAAGTTATTTCATTATGCATATCATTTATCTACACTATTTTCATTTTTTATCGATATTTATTGTAATTCGGAATTTTTGATAGTCGACTGTAATTAGCGAAGTGTATATTATAGTCTAAAACTACGTTAAGGAATGATTTTTGTTTTTGAATTAACATCAATGCCACATATTTCAGTAAAACTTCATAATGGATTTTGCAACCTTTAATTTACAAATATTTTATTCCAATCTACTATAAATGAGTTTTGATAAAAATATTATATAATTTGAATTATAATATAAAATACTAAATTGAAGTATATTATTCGTTACTGTCTGAGATTAATAGATATTGTACTAGCCTAAATAGTAATGCAACAATATTAATTCAATATATAAAATATATCTGTAACA